AAGCTCTTTCCTCGGCTCAGAAAGAAATTGTTCAAGAGGCGTTTCCTTACTTGTTCAATTCCAGTACCCGAACTAGTCAATTTTTCAAGCTGCCTGAATTTTCAGATATCGTAGTTGAGCTTGAAAACGTAGGATGTCACAAGAAGAAAACGACTGTGAAATTCCAAAGAGGAATGACTCAACTTAGCGCACCATCTGGAAGTGGGAAAACGACAGTTCTATTGGGTGTTTTGTTTGCGTTAACGGGAGGAAGAGTCATACCTACAGATAAGAAAAAAAGCATAGTGCGCCTTTTTTTAGGTCCTGATGTTTGTATTATTCGTACGAAACGTCCAGATACCCTTGAATTGCGCTACTATGAAGCTTGTTTCAAAGACGAGGAAGCTGAAGGTATCCTTCGTCACTGGCTTTCTGAAGACTGGAGCACTGTGTCTTTTGTTTTTCAGCATCAGCTGTGTGCCTTTTTCAATTTCACGGGAGAGCAGAAACTGAGCTTCGTCGAAAGAGCTCTTTTTGATGGAAAAGAAGCTTCGATGCTGCGTGACCAAGTTCGAAAGAAGATTCTTGAATTGGCCAACACGGAAGAAGCGAATTGGAAGATGCTTTCTTCGTTGACCGATGAAGAATTGAAGATTCTTCCCTTTGTGAAAGACTATGATTCCATGAATCGAGAACTGGATTCCTTAATAGCAGAAGAAGCTTCTTTAATGAATTTGTGGAAGGAATGCAGTGAGCGCTCTTCTCTTTGTACCTTATGGAATCAATGTAAAGAAGACATTGATAAATATTCCACAGAGCTTCGAAAGGAAGAGGAAAGCATTCGATCCATTCGAGAGCTAGTTGAAAAGCGAAAATTCCGAGATCGTTTGGGTCATGCCAATTCTCTCCTGCTTGAAGAAGCGAGCGATGAAGGATGGCAGAATTTAGTTCTTCATTGGAAAGAGTTTAAACAAGTAGAAGAATTCAGAAAAAAATACGGCTACGTGCCCAGTGCTCATAAGCTTGAGGAATTGGACGAATTGCTCTATTTAGACAATTGCTGCAAAGCTAATTGTCCTCGTTGTGAGCAGCCCTTGTTAGTTTTCGTTAATTGGAGAGACCGGAAATTGGACAAAGTTGAAGTGGATTTGGATGAGCGGAAGAATGTAGCTCCAGCAAAAAAAAAGGAAGAAAGGCAGCAAATGGAGCTTTTGTTGAACCATCGTTCCACGAAGCCGCAGTGGACTGTGGAAGAATACGAGAAAGCTCTTCAGATAAGAAAACTGGGAGAACTTGCAACTGAGGAACAAGTGGAAAAGTTCGAAAATCATGAAAAGAAAAGGTCCTTGATGAATGCTTTAATAAAGCAGGAAGAAGAATTGCGTGAAAAGTTGAACTTCATGAATCAGAACCTTCCGGAAATGGAAGCGATTGAGAAGCGTATTCAGGCTGTTCGAGAACAAATGGATCACTTGAGAAATATTTCTCGAATTTCTTCTTTTCGACCGTTCTATTATAGTTGGATGGATACGACTCGAGTCAAAGTATTGTGGCTAGAAATTAAGGAAGTATTTGAAACTGTTCGTGAACATTTTGTGAATTCTCGTTTGGATTTTCTAAATGCCGAACTGAACTCATTGCTTTCTCTTTTATTTTCTGGAGGAATGACCGGTCATTTTGTCTACGCAAAGAACTTTTCTCTTGAGTTGGAATGGAAAGGAATGACTTTTTCGAATGGAAAAGGATTGAGCGGTGGAGAAATGGAGAGAGTCTCGTTAGCTGTGATGCTTGCCTTCCATGCAGCATTGAGACCATCTTTGCACTTTCTGCTTTTTGACGAATCCTTTTCTTCATTGGATGGCGATAGTCTTCGAACTACGGTGGAAGTTCTTCGTTCTTGCTTTGCTTCTCACATAGTGTGGTCAACTCATCATCCGGATTGTCTCAGCGATGAGATTTTGAAGATTTAGATTTCTTCGAGGAATGGTTGGATTTTTTGCCAGAAAATGCAGAGCTGAGAGAAGATATTCCTCCACCTGCCACGAGAACGATGGCGATGATAATGAGAATGGTGGTGAGGCTGCTTCCCGTTGTTTCGCTTGCACTAGTAGATTGTGTTGCACTTTGTTTAGCTGATATTGTGGACGTGTTTGTTATAGCGCATTTCAAGTTTTCATTGAGTGTGTCGTCGTTGAATATGCTCCCTAAATAAACGCTGTTGTCTATCAGTGTGCATTGTTTTGAAAGCACTGCTTGTTGTTCGTCTCCTATGGAACAAGCCGTTTTAATAATTGCAGTCATAATGTTAGACAAATTAACTGAGTCCGTTTGGACTGTTGTGTTCACTGAGATTTGCCCAATGTCTGAAAGAAAGGTTTCCAGGTTTTTTTCGTTCGACTTTTGAAGCGATTCTGCAGTCTGCTGGAGAGATTCTTGGAGAGTATTGGCGAAGGTGCAGTCCAAGTTGACAGTTAAAGTGTTATCGTTGCTTATATTCCCGACGAATAGCGAGTTTTCAATAGTGAAACAGTCGCGGATAACTTGCTCGGTTGGTTTCACTTTGCAGCTATCGACTACTTTTGAGGCTATATCATTGGCTTCTGATATCGAGTCATTCTGAACTGCAGTTGAAACAGTAGCTCCCATTTTTTTAGTTACGACACGATTTCGGAGGAGGAAGGCAAGTTGAGCAGAGAATTTTCCGTGAGTTCGTTAACTTGGAAAGCAACGTATCTCGCTTTGGTGACGTTAGAAGGTTCAGTTATCCAATAACCTGGTTCTGAAGTAGAAGAATACACAGCTACATAGACGGTATCCATTTGAATGGTGTTTATTGTCAACTGATTGGTATTGATAATATTCTCGTTTGTTCCATTGGCAAAAAGCACATTTTTGCAGGAAAGTATGTCGATGCTAGCTCCAGATGCACTCCCTTCCAAACGATTGGCAATAGATCCTACTCCATTTGCCCAATAGCAATCTGTGACTTGCAACATGTAATAGACTGAGTCTTGTACGCTCACAACGTATAAGAGACCTCCTGTGATAGTGAGTTGCTGTATGTTTTTGATCAGGACGGTTCCTAGCACGCAGTTGCGGAATTGAATTTGTCCATTCGGGCTGTCTACCACTACTGTATTGTTGAATTGGCATTCTTCAATGAAAGAGTCATCATTGTATCCTAAGTCCATATCTGTTCCGAAATTCCAGAACCTTAATTGGAAGTAGTGATTCTGCATGCTGCCTCCTATGTACTTTCCATTGGAAGCTTTGATACCATTTACTCCCGTATTAACTGTTTGAAATTGAATTCCGGAAAGGACGGAATGAGTAAATTGGTACCCATTGCAGTCGATCATCCAGTTCCCTGAGGGAAACGAGGAACTTGCCAATAGAACTGAATAAGGCTGTCCTACTAAATAGAAACCAAGAGTGTTCTTACTTCCTGAAGGTGCTGGCAACTTTATGGGTTCCGATATTTCGTACACTCCTTGTTTCACCAAGATGGGTAGCATTACTACACTTGGACCGTAATCACTGGTTTTTGAAAGAGCCTTGTCGTACGCGTATTTGATGGCTTCAGCGAGACCTCCAGTCTTTGTTCCGGGAGTGTTCGGTCCAAAGTTTCCTTCCGAGTCTGGTCCATTGGGTGACAGAACTACAGGATAGCCTGCGTTGTTGAAAACGGAAGATGAAACTGTGTTCGTCTTTGAAATCTCGGACTGCAAAATCCAGGCGACCGCAATAATGATGAGGAGCAGAACTCCTATTGAAATCCATATAAGAACAGTCGTCCAGTTGATTTTTGAAGAGGAAACTTCTGTCCCTTGTTTTTTGGGTTGCGTGATTTTTTTGGTTTGAGGCGTTGGTTTAAGCGTTTTTGGTTTTGCTGAATTTCTTTTGACGGGTAGCGCTGCTGTTGTTGTTCTTCTCAACTGTCGTGGTTCGCTTCGTTTGACTGGAATTGCCCCAAGCTGCGTCGGTTGTTGCTGCTTTCGATTGGTTCTCCTACTGAGAGGCGGTGTTATTTCAGTTGGAGGTTGTTGATAGTTTGGAAAAAAGTTGTAGTCATCATAGTTCATCTTGTTTTAGAATATGGATTTGAAAGATTACTACTTCAAAATTGGAGGCCCTTTGAGATGGTTATTTGATTCATTTGAACAGTTTGTCGAAAAAGTAATTCCTTCCACTGTGTCAGAAAGAGTTTTTCTACTATTAAATGGAAGTACTGCAAGATTTTCTGTTCGAGAGATCAAGAAACCTTCAATTTCTCCTTTATCAGCAAGAGAGCAAAAACTCACTTACAGCATCGAGATAGTTCTTGACTGCTTCGTAGATGACCAAATAGAAGTTACCAGATCCTTTTTTTTCCCCTGTAAC